GAGGCAGGAGAATTGCCTGAACCCAGGAGGCGGAGGTTGCGGTGAGCCGAGATCGCGCCATTGCACTCCAGCCTGGGCAACAAGAGCGAAACTCCGTCTCAAAAAAAAAAAAAAAAAATGCTCAGATGTGTATGTTTTGTAAACATTTGAGTAAAGACTGTAGAGCAAACAATGACATCTGCCAGCATTTCTGTGGGTACTGACTTTTCACAGGGAGACACAGTCATTAGATTTTTGAACATTGTAATGACTGCATAGTTTTTAATTGAGCCGCCAAGGAAATCTCAAGTGAATTTAGGCTTCTGTGCTGTGTCGTATGCATTACTTCACTGGATTTCCACAATTATTCTATAAAGGTCTATTATAATTTCCATTTACAAATGAAGAATCTGAGGCTAAGCAGCTCAGATGTCACTCAAGGTGAAAGGAAACTAATGGGCCAAGGAATGAACTTCTGTGGTCTGTAAGCTCTATGAGGCCAGTTTTGCTCAAAACCCAGATCTAACACAGTGATTGGGCCATTTGTTATACTCAGTGATGAAGGAATGAAAGAGACCTCCAGAAAACCAGAACCATGAGTGTCAATAGCAAGACAGTCATATCCGGCTGGGTACGGTGGTTCATGCCTGAAATCCCAGCACTTTGAGAGGCTTAGGTGGGCAGATCACTTGAGGTCAGGAGTTCAAGATCAGCCTGGCCATCGTGGTGAAACCTTGTCTCCACTAAAAATACAAAAATTAGCTGGCGGTGGTGGCATGCACGTGTTGTCCCAGTTACCTGGGAGGCTGAGGCAGGAGGATGGCTTAAGCCCAGAAGGCAGAGGTTGTAGTGAACCAAGATCACTCCACTGCACTCCAGCCTGGGTGATGGCAGTGAAACCTTGTCTCAAAAAACAAAACAAAACAAAACAAAACAAAAAGAATGAGTGAATGAAAGAAAGAAAAGAATATCTTAAAGTATTAGTGATTTCCAGTCTGGCATTCCACATTCTCTTAGGTTTTGAGATGTGGCAATTTATATAAATAAATACTTGTATAGAATAAAATTTCTAATACCGTTATTTCATTGTATAATGAACTGCTTTTCGCTGATACTCTCTTTTAACTGGACATTAACTTCTATAGTTTGTCTACTTTTTATAAATCATGATTCCTCAAACTGCAGACAGCAAACCATCGGAGGCCTAATTAAGGCTGCATAGTACGTTATAATTACAGTGCTCATTTTATGTTTTATTTCAGCTAATTTATTTCAGGAAACTCGACTTAGATTCATCTTTTCTTCTAATAAAATACCCTTGCTCCATCATTTTTGTTTGTGCTTTGCAAATGCATCCATGACATTCCCTCATTCTGTATATGAATAACGATGTGATCCACCTTTTATCTTCACTGATTTCCATTTTTACTAATTTTTCTCTCCTTTCCCTAATGTTGCTAAGCCGTGTTATATTTTAGTTTTAACCTCTGTCACTTTTTTCTCCTTTTTGGAGCTTTATGAGTGCTCATTTTACTCATTAGCCTCAAAACCAGCATAAAAATATGAAGCATATGCAATTATGTATTTTCGTAATTGGGCTTGAGACCACATTGCTTGGGATTGTTATTTTTAAGCCTTTATATATATATCAATGTTCATATCAATTTATTTTTCCTCCTCTATTTGTGCGAGATACAGAAGCTCTATTTAGAGGAACGTATTTATTTCAAGAGTTAACAGGAAGCAAAATGTACACTGCTTCTTTTTCTTTTCTTTCTGATTATTTGTAAAGAAAAAAAGTCAAAAAATAATTTAGCAGTTTATCTTATATTGAAACTCAAATGATTTATTGACTTCAAATGTATACTCATTTTAAACAAACAGAAACATTTTTCTCTGGCTCAGTCGTGCTTCAGTTTGTGATACACAAAATTCACTGCAAATATTTAAAAGATGTGTTGTAATTATGCTGTCTATTGGTTCAGTATTCAACTCTTTCTATTTGTTTTGGGTAGACCCAGCTCTTCTTAGTAGAAAGAGAAAACTAAGCTTCCAGTTAGCTCAAACTAGGAGTTTCTGTAGTTCCTACTGTCTCATTTTCCCTCGTGGTTGGGCTTACTCCTGAAAATAAGACAACCTAGACGCAGTGCATACGTTATCACTCATGGGCAGTTTACAACAGATTTGTGCCTTTACAGAACTCTCTGAAGTGCACAGGCCCAGACACAAATTACTGCTTTTACACGTAACTGAGATTCTTTCCCTGACAGCCTCACCATTGCTATGTAGAAAAAAAACCAAAAAACTCTCCCAGACTCCTTGGATCTTTGGCCAACATGGAGCTAGCTAGGCCGTGTCTTCTGCTCCTGCAATTGCTGCTGCTTCATTTGCATGTGTTTCTTTCTTCATGTTGTTAGTACCGTAAGAAGACACTCCTGTTAACCAGGGGTGCTTTTACGTCCTGTTTTAGCATTTCTTAAACACTAAGTCTACTTAGTTGAACTTTCCCTATTTTTTTTTTCATTTATGTGAATACATAGTAGGTGTGTATGTTTATGGGACACATATTTTGATACAGGCGTACAATGTGAAATAAGCACATCATGGAGAATGGGGTATCCATTCCCTCAAGCATTTATCCTTGGAGTTACAAGCAATCCAGTTATACTCTTGAAAGAGTTAATCGTATACTTAAAAGGCACAGTTATTATTGGCTATAGTCGCACTGTTGAGCTATCAAGTAGTAGGTTATACTCATTCTTTCTATTTTTTTGTACCTACCTATCAGCTGTCTCTAGCTCCTAGAGCCCGCCACTACCCTTCCCAGCCTCTGGTAACTATCCTTCTACTCCCTATGTCCATAAATTCAAATGTTTTGATTTTTAGATCTCACAAATAAGTGAGGACATGTGACGATTGTCTTTCTGTGCCTGGCTTATTTCCCTTAACATAATCATCTCCAGTTCATCCGTGTTGTTGCAGATGACTGGATCACATTCTTTTTTTATGACTGACTAGTACTCCATTGCGTATATGTACTGATTTGCTTTATCCATTCATCTGAAGATGGACATTTAGGTTGCTTCCGAATCATTTCTATGAACCGTACTGCAACAAACATGGATTGCAACAAACGTGGAATGCAGATATCCCTTCGATATACTGATTTCTTTCTTTTGGGTGCATACTCAGCAGTGGGATTGCTGGATCACATAGTAGCTCAATCTTTAGTTTTCTGAGGGACCTCCAGAATGTTCTCCATGATGGCTGCACTAATTTGCATTGCCACCAGCAGTGCAGGAGGGTTCCCTTTTCTCCGTATCCTTGCCAGCATCTGTTACTCCCTGTCTTTTGGTTATAAGCCATTTTAACTGGGGTGGGATGCTATTTCATTGCCATTTTGATTTGCACTTCTCTGATGACCCTTCACTGCGTTTTTGACTCAACTCTCCTGTAATCTCAAGAATGCAGAACTTTCTGTGGTTCTGTCCACTCTCTCTCCTTGTTTCTTTGAGTCTTGCTGTCTCTCTCGCCGAGATCTAACAGGCTGGTTTAATTTCTCCTGATTTACTAATTTTCCTTATTTTATTTTAATAACTAACTTTGATTCCATGTCTTCATGCTGATTCATAGATAGCTCCCTGAATTCTCCTCTGATCAGTGTTGTCCATTCGGCATTTCTCTCTCTCTCTAAAGACTATAATCACTGCTTAACAAAGGAGCATATTGGTAATTCTTCCCTGTTGATCTTTGTTTCATTTGCCTTATTTTATTTCGACCATAAAATAATAGCAATACTTACACAGCATGGGTTTGATCTAAGCTCTGTTCTAAATGCCTTATGTGTATTGCCATGCATAACAATTTCCCCTCCCCTGGGCCCCATTATTATGTCCATAAATGTGGACACTGGAGCACAGAGATGTTAAATAATTTGCTAAAAACCTGCCAGGACTCAACCCTGGGCACGTCGGCTTAAGTGCATGCTTATCACCAGTATAGGATACAATAGAATAATAATGATACCTCTTATTATGATATTTCCCATTAAGTTTGTAAATACCAAGGCTACCAATCAGTTACTCTTTCTGACGGATGATGGTCTGTCACATACCTAAGTTCTTTGCGTTCAGGAATGCAAATGTCACTCGTGTTCTGTGTGATTCCCTGTTCTTTCTCAGTCATTTCTCAGTTTACTTCCCCATCTTTTCACTTGTTATGTCACTTTATCTAATGACTCAGAACGAAAAGACAAATTTTCCTACTTTCACTGACCCATCAGTGAAATCTGAAGATAAGATTCTGACCAAAAAAGCTCTAAAGGGTTTCAACTCCCAGGTAGGAGGGAGAAATCCCCAAACAATAACCTGTGGTTGAATAATTTGTAATTCAGCAGGTCTCAGATTGTGACTTCTTTCGTTGATATGCTGTGGGTACCGCCAAACTATTTCACTTGCACCCTGTGTCAGTGTTTCCTTTACATGAGGCAGTTTAACTCCTACTAATTAGCACTCAGCCTGGAGTCTTCCTGTATGCTTCCCTCTAGCTTAGACGAAAGGGTTTCCACACGCAATTTTCAGGTGAGTCCATGTGTTCCTTCTGGAATAATCTTTTGTTTGGTATTATTACTCCCACTTGAAATACAAGTGGAAGAGAGACTTTCCTTCTCCCAGAGCGGAATCACACTCCTGTATCCCTCATGCGTGGAGAACTAGGTTCCATCTAAACCCACATCCATCTTGGTGTTCTGGGGTGATTTTGACTTTGTTTTCTTTTTGCAAAACAATTGGAACCACAGGTGAGGAAACAGTACCCTGCGGGGCAGGGGTTGCTGGGGCGGGGCGGGGGGGGGGTGGTGCTGGCACTGTGGTTTCTGAGTCGGTGGTTTTCCTGGGCTTTTGGCCGTGATCATGGCCACCAGTGTCATGGCTTCCTTTGTCCCCACATTGGCCTCCTGTGCCTGAGTGGCTACCAGTCTAATACCACTCACTTCTCCCAAATGTAAGCTTATGCCGACTTACCGTGGGGCAGAATCCCCAGGCTAGATGATTCTTGGTTAAGTCGAACTCCATAGAGCACTCCTGCCTTGTGGCTTGTTTCTAGTTCTCTGCGGATTCTCAACTGATTTTGTTCAACCTCAGACAGCCTGAGCTGTGACCTGTGAATAGACAACAGCAAAGTTAACTTTGATCTCTGATGAAGCTCCTACCGATCTGTAAGTCAGGTAACAAAAATCTAAGTCTATTAGTAAAAAAGCAAACAGGACCACTGTTTTTTTGGGTCCAGAAACATGATAAGGAATATTCTCTACCCATGATAGCGGTTGGCCACTGCTCCCAACGCTGTTAAGTTATTCCTAGACATTTAGTTACATCTGTGGAGATTTTCCTTTCTCATGAGAACATAATTCACAGTTACAATCATAAAAGTTTTAAGGCAAATGGCTAAATACTTGCAAGTATTAAACATGCAGTGCCTGCAGCCTAATTTTGTGTTCTATGCACAAACACGCAGAAATTTGCCTAATTCACCAAGTAAAATTTTTCCTCAATCAAATTAAAACACAGATAAGGAAATCCTAGCACTAAGAAATATAAATTCTCTATGTTAAGTCTTCTGTCTTTTCTACCTTTAAAATAACAAATCAAAGGTTTTAAATGAAAATCTCCAAAAAGAAAGGTCAGTTATTCTATTGACACTTAACAATAATGAATTTTGTTTTGAGTAAATAAACAAATGGCAGATTTATTTTGTGTAAACAGAATGTGAGAACCAACAGTCGATTTATGTTCATTCACTTACTCATTTGGCAAACATGAGATGGCATTCCCTGGGTCAGAGTGAGCTGGGTGACAGGGAGGCAAAATTAAACCAATATCTGCTCTCAAGGGCTCATTCTGTAATGGGGGATTGAAATAAGAATTTTGAAAATGTTAATACAAGCTAGGCATGGTGGCAGGAGCCTGTAATCCCAGCTACTTGGGACACTGAGGCAGGACAATTGCTTGAACCTGGGAGGCGGAGATCACAGTGAACTGAGATCGCGCCACTGCGCTCCAGCCTGGTTAACAGTGCAAGGCTCCGTCTCAAAAAAAAAAAAAAAAAAAAAAAGTTAATATAATGTGCTTGATACTATAAAAAAAAAAAGGAATAATTAATTCATCTCAGGGCATTAGTAAAAGCTTACCTAATTAGGTAACTTTGAACCTTTGTGAGATAATTGAGATTTGCAGTCTTGGAAGGTGGGAGTACATTTAGATCTGAGAATAACATGGGGGAAGGATTGAAGGTGAGCAAGTTCTTGTAAGTTTTAAGAGGGCCTTGCCTGTCTGGTTCACTGCTGATCCCATTCCTTGGAACAGTGCCTGGTAGTGCTTATTTATGATTAATATGTAGGTATATATATTCATTGTTCTTTGTGGGAGGAAGTGGCAGGAATTGAGGCTGCAAAGGAAGGTTGCTCTATCTGGTGTAGGACTGATATACTTTGCTAAGGAGAATGGACTTTGACCTTGGAAGGTCTGGGAAGCCATTGAAGATTTTAAGCAAGGGAGTGACATGGATTAAATGTGTGTTTCAGAATAACCGCCTGCAATCTAGAGGATGGGTTGGGGAGGGAGGAGAAACTGGAGGAGAGGAGATAGTAAGAGGCTATTCAGTGAAAGGACAGGATGAGTTTAGGAGATAAATTTGGATACAGCATTATTGAATTTTAACAATTATGTTTAAGAAAATGAGAAAGTGAAAGAGGATTAAAAATGACTTCAGGTTTTTAGCTTGAATATTTGGATGGATGATGGATGAGAGAAGCAATTTTACATGTATATGTACAGAGAAAGGTGTTATGTTCAGCTTTTGGAAAAGTTAGTAGGGGGTACTTAGAGACATTCTGATTGAAATGTCCAGAAGACGATTAGGAAATGATATTTGAAATCAATCTGGAGTAGTCAACCTAAGTTCTTATTACTTGTCACTGCTAATCAAATCATGCGTATAAAATGGCCAGTGTGCCCTGAGACCAACCCTAGTTCATTGCTGTATAATACTTAGTCCTGATAGAAACACTCAGTACTGTAATTTGTGTGTTCTCTGTGTGACAAATGTTAGGTTTTGTTTATGCTTATTCCATTCCATGGAATGAAAATAAATTTATGTAACTTGGATGAAGTATAAGACTTAAAAAGTCTTATTCTATATATTAAAAATTGACTATAGCTCTATCCTATAGAGAGGAAAGGCAGGGAATGTTACTGGCCATTTGCTGTCAGGATTTACACTGAGTTGGATGAATTGAATATTCAGTTTATTGGCTGAAATAAAATGTAAATAGACATTACTTCCTATTGTTTTATGATTCTTCTAAAATATGTTTCTTACTATAAAAGTTAGGCATGCTCATTTCCCAGAATTTATGAAATACTGGGAGAGAAATATACAAATCCAGAAATAAGTAAGACTAACCTTTTCAGGGAATAACTTCTGGTGTTTTTTGAAATGTGTATTTTATACAAATGAATATATTTTACATAGTTGCAATTAGAAGGTATATGTTATTTCGCATCTACTCTTAAAAAGTTACAGGTTCACTCAAATCATTTCTATACATTTATTAAAACTTATAAAATGCAATTGCTTTTCCTTACTAGTTATTGTAATTGGTTGGGATTTTTAAAAGTAATTTGTAGGCCGGGCGCGGTGGCTCACGCCCATAATCCCAGCACTTTGGGAGGCCGAGGCTGGTGGATCACGAGGTCAAGAGATCGATACCATCCTGATCAACATGGTGAAACCCCGTCTCTACTAAAAATACAAAAAATTAGCTGGGCATGGTGGTGAGGCGGGAGACCCAGGCATTTGGCATTCCCTTTCTCTCTGTCATTCACTGTGCATCTCAATAGAAGAAAGAGTAGGCCAGCTGGCCTCTCCTTGCTCCCCTAGGAGCCTTGGGGAAACTCTCCAGAAGGCACTATTTTTACTTAAAACAAGATCAACCCAGAAACCTTTTCACATGTGAGTCCTAAAACTGTAAACCGGAACCGTTTCATATGTGATTCCTGAAACTGTAAACTAAAACCTTTTCACATGTGAGTCCTAAGACTATGAAACTAAGATTCTTCCACGTGTAACATCTAAAGTATAAGCCTATATAAAGGCTGAACCTTCCTTGGTTAGATGAGCTTGGCTGTTAGGCACCTATGCCACCTTGCTCCCAGCTGAAATGAATTCCTTCCTCCTGTATTTGGTGTCCGGTGTCCCAGAGATCCTTTCCCGCAGCCGCTCCTGCTACAGTGGCACATGCCTGTAATCCCAGCTACTCAGGAGGCTGAGGCAGGAGAATTGCCTGAACCCAGGAGGCGGAGGTTGCGGTGAGCTGAGATCACACCATTGCACTCCAGGCTGGGTAACTCCGAATTTACCCAGAGCGAAACTCGGTCTCAAAAAAAAAAAAGTAATTTGTAGCATATTTATAATTCTTTCATTTCATAATACTGTTATGATCTGCCAAGCTTTTAAATTTGAGAATCTAACAATAAGCTTCATGACCATAGCTATTTCTTGGTCTTACTGAATGTATTTAGCATTTAGTGGTCAAATGATTATAACTATTGCTATTGTAATTTTCATTAAGCACTGTTTCTCCGCATCGTTTTTCACCCAAGTGTTCAAAGCATATATCAGCATAATTTAAATATACACATGATATTGTATAGCCATTCCTTTTTTTAATTTAAAAATGGGCTCTTCGGGGTCTCCCATTTGTTTTAAGAAATTTTTATTATACAAAAGCACATTTGCTGTTTATTTCAATAAAAATGAAAATCAAATTTATTTTAGGCTGGGTGCTGTGGCTTGCTACTATAATCTCAACACTTTGGGAGGCCAGTGGGAGGATTGCATGAGCCCAGGAGTTCAAGACCAGTGTGGGCAACGTAGTGAGACTACCCTCCATCTCTACAACAACAAAAAAAAAAAAAAAAGGAAAGAAAGCTCAGCATGGTGGCACATACCTATAGTCCTGGCTACTCAGGAGGCTAAGGTGGGATGATCGGGGCCGTAGTGAACTCTGATCATGCCACTGCACTTCAGCAACTTAGTGAGAGTCTGTCTCAAACAAAACAAAACAAAAATTATTCCAATAAACCAGGGTTCTTCTCAAGGTGCTGGTCATCTAATATGCATGTATATTTCAGTCTATTCCAATAAAATTGAAAATAAAACGTGTTTTCTCTGACATTTTGTTGTCAGAATTAGTAGAATTAGTAACAGTCAATTATTTTCAACTTTGTTGGATTTCAATTTGTTGGATCTGACCCGGTAGAATTGAAAAACAAAAAACGGTTTTAATGTTAAACCCAGAATTCTGAAAGATTTCTATTAGACTAGGGTAAATAGAAAAACCAGGGATTTGTTTTCATGCAGCCTTTCTTGCACTTTGTGACATATGCTACTTACTTCTAAAATCCAGTCATATCTTTTCTGATATATTCAGTTTATTCACTCTGTGGGTCTTCATGAGTGAGGGCCTTGAACAGTAAAACAGAATTTATTGTTCTTTGTTCTGACTTCTTGCTCTTTTTTCTTAATGGTTACACTCTATTCCATGATTGGCAATCTTTTCTGAAAAAGGCTAGTGTCTTAGTCAATTGGGACTGCTCTAACAAAATATAATAAACTGGGTGATTTATAAACAACCGAAATTTATTTCTGACAGTTCTAGATTCTGGGAATTTCAAGGTCAAGGCTCCTGCAGATATGGTGTCCTGAGGGCCTCCTTTCTCATAGAAAGTCCATCCTCATATTGTGGAAGGGACAGCAAGCTCCCTTGGGACCTCCTTTATAAAGGCACTAATTCCATTCTTAAGGGCTCTGCCTTCATGACCTAATCACCCCGCCAAAGGCAACATCTCCTAATATCACCTTGGGGGTTAGGATCTCAACTTATCAATTTTGGGGAGACAAAAACATTCAGACCATAGCAGCCAGATAGTTATCATTGTGGGCTGCTTGGACCATGAGACCTGTTAGAACCACTCAACTCTGCCTTTGTAGTGAGAAAGCAGCCATAGGCAGTATGTAGTTGAAGGTGCATGGAATACACAATAAAATTTGATTTATAAAAATAGGCAGTATGCATCTGACAAGGGTCTAACATCCAGAATCTATAAGAGACTTAAATAACCCAATGAGCAAAACCCAAATAACCCCATTAAAAAATTGTCAAAATACTTGATCCCGTTTCAGCTTTCTGCACATGGCTAACCAGTTTCCCCAACACCATTTATTAACTAGGGAATCCTTTCCCCATTGCTTGTTTTTGTCAGGTTTGTGAACAATCAGATGATTATAGTTGTGTGGCATTCTTTCTGAGGTCTCTGTTCTGTTCCATTGGTCTATATCTCTGTTTTGGTACCAGTACCATGCTGTTTTGATTACAGTCTTGTAATATAGCTTGAAGTCAGGTAGCGTGATGCCTCTGGCTTTGTTCTTTTTGCTTAGGATTGTCTTGACTATGAGGGCTCTATTTTCTTTTTTTTCCAATTCTGTGAAGAAAGTCATTGGTAGCTTGATGGGGATAGCACTGAACCTATAAATTACTTTGGGCAGTATGGACATTTTCACCATATCCATGAGCATGGAATGTTTCTCCATCTGTTTGTGTCCTTTCTTATTTCCTTGAGCAACGGTTTGTAATTCTCCTTGAAGAGGTCCTTCACATCCCTTGTTAGTTGTATTCCTAGGTATTTTATTATCTTTGTAGCAATTGTGAATGGGAGTTCACTCATGATTTGGTTCTCTGTTTGTCTGTTATTGGTGTATAGGAATGCTTGCAATTTTTGCACATTTATTGTGTATCCTGAGACTTTGCTGAAGTTGCTTATCAGCTTAAGGAGATTTGGG